TCCTCCTTCTACCTCTCCTCCTCTTCTCCTCCTCCTCCTCCTTTTCTTCTCCTCGCCCGTTAGCCATAGCCCATGCGTTAGCTTGCTCCTCCTCCTCCTCCTCCTCCTCCTCCTCCTCCTCTTCTCCTCTCTCCTCTTCGTCATCTTCTTCCTCCTCCTCCTCCCTTTGTTCTCCTCGTCCGTTAGCCATAGCCTTTTGTTTTTTTTTTCGAACATCCATCTTCCCTGCACGCTGCTTCTTCATCCTCCTTGTACTCGCCGTCTTCTTCACCTCCCTCCTCTCCCCCTCCTCCTCCTCCTCTTCTTTGTCATCTTCTTCCTCATCCTTCTCGTCTTCTTCTCCTCCCTCTTCACCGCGGGCGACATCATGGCTGGTGACGGAAGCAGAGGGGCTGGGCCGACGACACGCAGGGTAGGCGGTACCAGAGCTCCCAAGGGGAAAGAGCAAGTGCAGCATGATCCCGACAAGCCTTCGTCAAGCAAGTCAGCGCAGTCAACAACAACGGCCACCAACAAGGAGGTGACACCCGGCACTGATCCCGGTCTCTTCCAAGCGAAGAGCGAGGACGACCAGAAGAAGCTGTCGAAGAAGAATGCAGTCTGGAATTGGGTCGAACAGGGACAGGTGGCACTCCCAGCAGGACGCGTGGAGTACTGGCTGAGGTGTCGCCTTTGTTCCAAGGTCTTCAGGGGCTCATCAACGAAGGCGGCTGACCATTTCTTGAAAGTTCAGAAACCGTGTCCTTTTCGGACGGGGGAGATTGTCGACGAGCTTGTTGGTCAGGGACGCAAGGTCAACCCCAAAGACAAGAACACCCGCTACTTGCTGCAGAACTTCAGAGGACTCGATAGGGGCGAAGAGGGGGGCGAGGAGGCTGCGGAGAATGCATCAGATGCTGTCCAAGGAAGGTGCCTCCACCTGTCCGAGGAAGGTGTGTTCCACAAGTTGCTGCATCGATTGCAACAACAGATGACGAGGCTGCAGCGATGGGCGACGATGCCGCCGGAGTAGGGGAGGCCTGTGCCAAGGTTGTGGTGGCGAAGACGCAAACCACAATAAGGAAGTGGATCGACAACGACGCACAGAAGAAGTTAGATGTCGCGTGGGCGGAAGCAATGTTCAGGGCTGGAATTGCTTTCAACTTCCTGAACTTTGACACCACGCAGGCTCTTCATGACGCTTACTTGGAGGTTGCCAATGCAAAGCCGAAGGTCAAGTTGCCTACCTACAAGCATATGCGGACTGTCATGCTGGACTACATCTTTCTGAAGGTGCAGAAGTCGATCAACCCCTTGACTGCTTGTTGGGACAAGACCGGCTGCACATTCATCACAAACGGATCAACAGATCGTAAGAACCGGCCGGTCATGAATTTCCTAGCAGATGGGAGAGAAATGAGCAGTTCTGGTGACCACGGTTTTCATGACCGGGAGAAAGAAAAACGCAGCAGCATTGGCGAAGTTGTGGGAGCAGGTGATGCGGGAGATCGGGATCAAACGGATCAATGCGATCTGCACCGATAACGCTGAGGTCAACAAGAAGGCAGCACAGATCCTGGAGCGGCCGACCGGCAGAGACATTGCAAAGATACCATGGGTGCCTTGCGGAGCGCATTGCTGCAGCCTATTGTTGAAGGACCTGAGCAGTTTGCCATGGGTGAAGGACACAGTGAAGACGGCGAACACAATTGTGAAGTTCATCAGGAACCATCACGCCACGCACGGTCTGATGATGTCCATCGATGACTCCTTGTCATTGCTGCGCCCGACAGAGGTCCGGTTCGGGTCGGTGTACCAAATGCTGAATAGGCTGGCGGATAGGGCAGAAGTGTTGGATGAGATGGTGGACGGAGGTTCTGCAGCGAAGTGGAGGGCATTGAGGTGGTCGGGAGAGAAGCTCCARAAAAAAGCGGACCTTGTCTACTACACTGTGAGGTCAGAGAGTTGGTGGGCCGAAGTCAGGAAAATTGTGGCAATTATGGAGCTGGTGTACAGCCTCCTGAAGAGGATGGACAGGGAAGGAGTTTCTCCCACCAACCTCGTGGAGTTCGACGACCTTATCGCAAGGAAATTGGCAAACGTCGTACTGACGAAGAAGGAGAGGGAGGATGTAATGGACAAAGTTAAGGACCGCGTGAAGATGATGCGGCAGCCCGTTCACGCAGCTGCGTTTTTGTTGGATCCACGGAGGAGAGACCCAGGCTGGCTCAACGACCCGGACAGCGMCCTCGTGCAGAATGCAATGCGCTTCTTCTGCAGGCAGATCGGAGCGGAGTGGGATTCAAAGCCGCACATGGACATGTGGGACCATCTCTACGAGTTTTTGAGAGAGCCTGTTTCAGGGAAAGTGAGGATAGATGAACGGATGTGGACACCGGGTGCCATCGCGCAAGCAACACGACATACGCCCGCGGACTGGTGGTCCTTGCACGTTGGGGATGTTCCAGTTTTGCAGGAGATCGCCATCAGAGTGTTGGGGATGTGGAGCACGGCGACACCGGGGGAGCAGAACTGGGCGTCGATGGACTTTGTCCATTCCAAGCGCAGAAACAGCTTCTCGCCGGAGTCCTTGGAGAAGTTGGTTTACATTCACTGGAACATGCAGTTGCTGCGTGTTCCAAGTAGCAAGGACAATGGCTACATTGATGTTTGGGGATCCTTCTTCAAGCCGCTGATGGAGCCGGCAGCGGAAGACGGAGCGATCGAGGACCCCGCGGAGGATGAGACAACGGACAACATCGAGGAAGAGAAAAGGCAGAAGAGACTGAAGAAGACTCCCCAAAACCGGATTCCGAAGAGCCTGCTATGTGACGAGTCAAGTGGGAGTAGTGATCTTGAGGATCTGGTGTGGAAGGGGAAGTGTTGGGACGAGTCCACTTCCGAGGACGAAGACAGTGAGGATGACATCGGGGAGGACTCAGATTTTGAGTTGGGGGTCAAGYCGGCRGTGCCAGCYACTACGTACGTAGGTCGGAGGCTTGGGAGGCGAGCTAAGGWGGCGRAGGTGCTGCCTTCAGAGCCCATGGAGAGACTGGACACTGATATCGAGTTCTTGGCGCRCCCTATACAGTCCCCAACCSATGCAGACGAGGAGGAAGCAGCTCGGGCCAAGGCTATGGCCGACCRGGATGCTGCTKTGGTTCAGAGGCGGATGTGTGAGGAGGARGCTCGCCGTGCTGCAGTCCCCACCCRGAGGGAGACAGAGAGACAGAGCAAACAGGCCAGCCARCATGAGGAGCAGCATAGTGAGGAAAAGGAAGGAAGGGTGGACAACATGGAGGTCGATGACGCGGCCGTGCGTGCAGAAAATGAAGGGACTTTGCAGCAAGAAGGGGAAAAAGGTTCGCCGCGAGAGGGAGATGATATGGATATGGAGGATGTGGACAAACATCAGCAGCAGGAAGAAGGAGAGGAACCGCAGCAACCATTGCCACCCACGGTTTATACACGAAGACCCCGCCCATCCGCACTGCACCAGCCTGCACCGCAAGAGCCGCAGGAGGACCAGCAGCCTGTCGTTGAGAAGCAGCCAGAAACACTAGGACCAACGGTGCGTGGACTCCGAGGACAAGCGGTCCACTCCGGCAGACCACCGTACCCAGCACAAAATGAGGATGCCCAACACAACAACATCTGGAAAAGCAGGGCGGGCCGGAAGAGGAAGGCTCCGGCAAATGACGTCCCCGCACCTGGTGCACCACGTCGCGGTCGTGGGAGGCCCCGCAAGGAGGAGGGGCACAAAACCGCAGCGAAGTCGAAACGTCGTCGTGCCAGGACCCGCAAAGTGCAAGTGTCGGAGGACGATCCCGACTCAGATGGCCATGGTTCGGAGTCGCCCGACGACGAGAGTAGCAAAGGGGATTCCGAATGTGAGAGAGAGAGAGAGAGAGAGAGAGAGAGAGAGAGAGAGAGAGAGAGAGAGAGAGAAAGAGAGAGAGAGAGAGAGAGAGATCCACGGATAACATGACGAACTGCTGCGGATCTTCATCTTGGTCATATTACCCGTGACGAGTCTCAACTTTCTGTTATTCCTCTCCTTGACTTCTTCTCCGTTCTCTTTTCTACTTCTACCGTTCTTCTTCTGTTTCTTCTCACTTTCTGCTCAATATTGTATGGCCTCACTTCCATTTTGCATGCATGATGCTGTCTGCAGACCTGCAAACCCTGAACGCAACAACCCCCTCGCCACTCACAACCAGGGCCCCAAAACCCTTGAGCGCCCCCCCCCCCCCCCCCCCCCCCCCCCCCCCCCCCCCCCGCCTCCCGGCACACCCAAAAAAAAATCCGACCTTCAAAGTTTTACGGCGGAATCCGACAGATCTCGGCAAGCGCAGTCGGATGCCGTCGAAAAAAATAATAATAATAATAATTTGGCCATTTTTTTTGTGACATCCGGTTTTCCGGTTGACCCCCCCTCAACCGGTCCGGTCCCCGTTGGACCAGGTCAGCACGACCGGCCGGTCGCCGGCCCAGCACTGATTTTAACAAAACTTAATGGTCATTTTAACCAAACTTGCCACCAACTCATAGAGTGGAGATCATACTAACTACTTACATACCAAATTTGCCACACAGCAACCTTAAACCAAAACCAAAACAGGTAAAAAAAAAAAAAAAAAAAAAAAAAAAAAACCATAAAATTTGACCCCCAAACCCTAATTTCAGTTTTGGACCCGTTCGTCAGGAGCTGAAAGTTGGGGTCCCCAATAACCCCTTGTGCTTTTCCACCCTTCTCTCCCACCTCCCCCCCTCTCCGTCACCACCAGAGCCACACACAAACACCCTTACAGAAAGTTCTGCATCATCACAGGCATCCCAGGAAATGCTAGTCGATGACTTTTTATAGTCCTTGACAGTTCACTTTTTACCACCGGTTAAATAAATAGTTATCAACAATAATTCCGAAAATTTCTCTCTCTCTCTCTCTCTCTCTCTCTCTCTCTCTCTCTCTCTCTCTCTCTCTCTCTCTTCACACACACACACACACACATAGCATCCCCTGCCTACCGCCCCCTCATCTGTCCAACTTCATCTCCTTGGTTTCTCTGTCATTGCCGGTGTTTATCGACTTGGACTGATGTCTGGGCTCTCTGCAAGTCTAATGCATGCCGTCTGAATGGAGTAAATGGAGTACCATCGTGAAATCACGAGTGCAAACGAAGTAATCAACATGGATGAAGGCTTCGACGATATGCAATCACTCCACAGCTCGTCATGTTGAGAAATATGAATCAGAGCAAAGTAGCAACCAGGCCTAGAGTTGCCCAGATTTTTCTGGAGTTCGTGTATTCCCACAGATGGAGTGTGGACCACCAATTGCACAGAATGACACAGAAACATGCTGTGAGGTGCAAAAGGCTGTGACCTAGATATCACTGACACATTGTCACACATGTCACACGTTGTCACACATGTCAGACATGTCACACATGTCACGCATGTCATTCATGTCACACATGTCACACATGTCATGCATGTCATGCATGTCACGCATGTCACGCATGTCACACTCGTACATGAAGGAATTAGCAGGGTTCAGTTTCTCATACTCTCAACTGCTTGATCGTCCCAGCGTTGTGCCTTTGCCTCCATGCCACCACTCAGACCGCCTGTCATCATTCCTGATTTGTGAATCAGGGTGCCGTCCAGCGCGACAACTGCATGCAAGAAATTCAATCCACGTAGGTACACAGAAAGATCAACATCTGGTAAAAGAAGAAAAAAATGAGAGAAAGAAACGAAAAGAAAAGAAAAGAAAAGAAAAGAAAAGAAAAGAAAAGAAGGAAAAATCAACAGCTGACAATCACACGCCATTCTCTCGTAGCCAGTGTTTCAGACGAATGCAGGTTATCTATCCACTGCATTGTTAGTGAGTGACAGGCAACCACCACCTCGAATACCTTGAAAACAGGGGTCCAAAATTGGCAGAGTAGATGCAGTTGCAGAAAGCCACAAGTTCTGTAAGGCAAACCTACCCAAAGTCAAAATACCACGGTTACGATCCAGATGTCCGGAGCCCAGTCCGTACCGTCCGCGTCTGGAGTCCGGGCGGACGTCCAGTCCGGCAGGTGCGGAAGTTAAAAAATATATATTTGTTTTTGGTTGTTCAACGCCCACCACCCAAAAAATTGTTTTGGGGTTTTTCAACTATTTTCTGGCCCTTTCAGAAAGCCACTGAGAGAGAGAGAGAGAGAGAGAGAGAGAGAGAGAGAGAGAGAGAGAGAGAGAGAGAGAGAGAGAGAGAGAGAGAGAGAGAGAGAGAGANAGACAGACAGACAGACAGACAGACAGACAGACAGACAGACAGAGGTGCACAGACTGGATACTGCCTTGAGGTAGGTATGGCCTAGTTCACCCTGTCTGTAAAGTTCTGCAAACCTTCTGTAACCTGTTTTCTTTTGTTTTTGTTTTTTTGTTTTTGTCCGGATTTTTCCGGACTTCATTCCGGCGGACAGTCCCACTGTGTCCGGGTCTGGCGTAACCATGCAAAATACTGATCATGCTCGCAGTTGCTGAAAGCCACAACACATCAGAATCATCAGATCCAATGTAATTGACGGCGGAAGGCACAACAACCAGTTGTCAACAGTCATTCACGATGAAAAATCATCCAAGAGTCAACGGTCATCCGTAAAGTAAACCCACTCAGAGTCTAAACACTTATCATGCTCATTCCAACCGCAGCTGCAGACAGTCTTAACACAACTGATCCAATGTCCTTGACGACGGACGACACAAACAACTCGTCGTCAACCATCAGTGCTGACGAAGCATCATCAAGACTGTAATCTGATCCAATGTGCCTTGATGATCATCAAGCTTGAAACCACCAGCACATCTGGAGAATTCAAATGAGCCCCTCTGAAAAGTTAGGGGACCAGGGACAGGGCCCGCCTGGCGGCAAGCGGTGTTTTGTTCAGGGCTGGGCCTGGTGCCACCCCACGGCATGGGACAATTTTTTTTTTCCTACTGGCCCTTCGGACAGCCTGTCCCATGCCTCCAAAATTTTAGGAGAGAAGACTCAATCGTTATTCTCGACTTGGCTGCGGTCATGTACTGGCCGTTTCACACATCTGATCCAATGTGCCTTGACGATCAATATACCAACAAGAGAGTCAACCACAAAGCAAACCTCCTCAGAGCCAAAACACTTGTCATGCTCCTTCCGCGCACAGTTTCCAGAAGCCTTGAATCACATCTGATCCAATGTCCGTGACATCGGAGGACACACACGACCAGTCGTCAACCGTCAGTCATGATGAACCATCATCAAGACCCAAGAGAGTCATCCTCACCTTTGGCGCGCTCAGGACCCCATCCCAGCCGCTTTGCCTCATCCAAGCCGTCACAAACGAGGGTGTTCCCGCATGCATAGATAAATGCCCTTTCATAAGCTGGATCAAATGTGCAGCCTACGAGTCAAGGAAAAGCAGCAAATAGCAGACTGCCACGTGTATCCCCATGGACATGGCATCTGTCCAGTGATCAGCAGGTTCTTCAAAGTCCTTGTGCCATTTACTTAACTGTAACAAACAAATAACAATAGCGGTGGCCCCTGCGCGAGGATGGCACACATAAATCGAGAAATGGAAGAAAAAAAAAAAAAAAAAAAAGTTCGTCAAACACAGCATCGGAAATCTCATAGCCAGGTCTTCTCCATTTTCAGACCTAAACTATCTTCCAGCAGGCAAGGGGTTAAAAAAACTTTGTAAAATAGTTTAAAATCCAGAAATCTTAATTATTTGAATTAAGTTCAATTAACTAATAGTATTAATAGTAATTTAATACTCCTTTGGGCATTTAACTTGGACGTCCCTGGCCGCAATTTCGACTTTTTCTGAACCGAAATTGTCGGGCCCTACTGGCGGGGAAACCCGGTAAGCCCTGACGATTTCGGTTCAGCAAAAGTCGAAATTGTGGCCAGGAACGTCCAAGTTAAATGCCCAAACGGGTAATAATACCCAAGGCCGCCACAATCAATTTCCAAGATCATTCCAGCCCACTGCCTGCTCAGAATGGACCGCCTTCACCCGAACAGAACGCCTGGTCATTATAGCTGCATCTGGGGCAATTATAGCTGCATCTGGGGCAACTCAGTCTATATACGGTGATAATGACCGGGCGTGCTATTCGGGTGACAACGGTAGCATACACGCATTCACACTTACAACAATTTGAACAGTGTAGAAACAAAACAAGAACCATGGGTTTAGCGTCTTTAGACAGCCATCATAATTGTTGTACCCATCAGGATTTGCTTTTTTTTAAGCTCATAATCTGTTTACCAACAGGGCTAGATGTCAACAACATAAAATCAACAGCTACATGTGGGTACCATTGAGCCACAGGACAGCGATAGTATTTGGTCTCTCTTTGAGGCGGATATTGAATAACATCGATGACAAGCTTTGACGTTCCTCCGAGTGTTCGCATTCTCTCCTGCACAGGCTTGATCTTTATAGTCTGCAAGGGGATGAAAGTCATGCTGGAAAGCCTTTGTTCCTTCAAGTACTGCAACCAAAAACAGAGAAGACGAACAACAGAAACTCTGAACTGAGCAACCAAAAAAAAAAAAAAAAAAAAAAAAAAAAAAACAGAGACCCCCCCCCCAAAAAACAAGCAACTTTGAGGCGAGCACTAGGTCAACCCAAGCCCTGTTCGTGGTAAATAAAATTGTGCGAGGAATGAGCCCTTGAGGGGCCCTTATCAGACATACAAGTGTTCTTGCCGTCACACATCAGTCGAGCCAATGAGAATGCTGTGAACGCTTGGAAGCTGCATGGCTGCCCAAACGTGCCTAACCGCACGGGGCCCAGGCCAGTATCGGAAACTGGGCCTGGGCGCCGACACTTGGGGCCAGAGGCAAGCTACTGGGGCCCCCACATGCCTGGCCAAGCCAGCCAGACACGGGCACACTTTCCATAAAGGAAAGTGTCTGCCCCAGCGCTGGGGCATTCTGGCCTGTGCAGGCATTGCGGCCACGCTGCTGCATTGCTCTGCGAAGCTGC